TATATGTGTGTGTGTGCTGTGTGTTGTGCGTGTGTATGTGTATGTGTGTGTGTATATTATCAAGAGCGTATAAAGAAGGTCTTCTTTCTCTGCTCTTGATATTATGATTATGTGTGTGTGTGTGTGGTGTGTGTTGTGTGAGTGTGTGTGTGTGTGTGTGTGTGTGTGTGTGCGTGCAGTGCGTGCGTGTGGGTGGTGGCTGTGTGTAAGTGTGTGTGTGCCTGTGTGTGTATGTGTATGTATATATATATTATATATATATACTAGCTGCGGTACCCGCTGCGCTGGTAAAATCGTGCCTTACTAATTTATATGTACTATAATTAATGGGACACAATAGGAAACATTGGGTAAAATCGACAATATAACATTGCACACAATATCAATATTTACAAATCAGTGTAATAAGATAATAAGCATGGGGAAAAACTGTTACGTATGACATTTATATGCAGCAGAACCGAACTTAGAACCCCTGCGAACATAATAGTAATATGGTGCAAATGAGAAAAAGTTATTATACAGCAGATCGTACGAATGGGTTGCAGTTTTCATTTGAAAACCTCTTGATAAACCATGGTTTGCGTGTTATTGTCTGGTGGAAATATGTAGAGATTGCTGGCGTCTCGAACTGTTTGAGCTCACCACGTACAGCTATCCATTGTCAGATCCTAGGATGAATAAACGAAATTGGGTATATATGTATAGATAAGAGAGAGACAGGCCAGCGAGTGGGGCTTTGTGTCCATGGATATTTGCTCTAGTGAATGCTTGGCGCGCAACCATGCACATTGAAATAAAGGAATTTTTTCTACTGCGAATCGAAAAGCATAGCTTTCGAATGGTACAATGGATTTCTGAAATCGTAGCATGAATAAAAAAACTCGATATATAGTATACAGACAGGCCAGCGAGTGGGGAAATTTGTAATTATAAAAGAATGTTTACTCACTTGGCTACGCGTCTTTATGCGTTGATGTTTTGAGCAATCGTAACCTCTCAAACTAATATATATCATACTAAACTATAGTGAATCTCTATAAATATTTACAATCAGTGTAATCAGATAATAAGCATATTAAAAACGGTTACGTATGACATCTATATGACAGCACAACCCAACGTAGCAACCCCTGAACATAATAGTAATATGGTGTAAATAAATAAAAGTTATTCTAACAGCATGCACGAATTGTTGCACTTCACATTTCAAGCTCTTTGATAAAACAATGCAGTCGTAACCACAGGCACTTGAAGCGTTTCAACTGTAAACACACGCCGCCGCCATTGCGCGCACACTGACACATAAAAAATATATCCTGGTTGTGCTCTGTTTTAGTTCCGGTTTCCGGTTTCAGCAATACCAGCAGCTTGATGGAATGAGTGATCGATTTTTCATCTGTGGCACAGTGTACAGTCAGTGTTTACATTGTGTGAAGATCACGAATTGAGGGGTTTTCACGGATTTTTCGGTGAGTTTGACGGTTTGGCAGGTTTTTTCAGGCTACGAACACTCCGCGGGTATAAGAAATGGCCCTGTGAAAATTGCATCCCAGATCGCTTGGCGGTTTGGCCGCCTATAGGGAAGATACATAGCATAGATAGATACATACGAACTCAAATATATATCTTAGACTAGCTGCGGTACCCGCTGCGCTGGGTAAATCGTGCTACTAATTCATACTACTAAGTAATAATGGGACACAATAGGAACACTTGGGTAAAAAATCGACAATAACATTGCACACAATATGAATATTTAGAAATCAGTCTATAAGATAATAAGCATTGGGAAAAACTGCTTACATATGACATTTATATGACAGCACAACCCAACTTAGAACCCCTGGAACATAATAGTAATATGTGTGTAAATGACAAATAGTTATTATAACAGCATGTACGAATAGGTTACACTTTTTCATTTGAAAACCTCTTGATAAACAATGTTTTCTGTGTTATTCTCTGGTTGAAATATGTAAAGATTCTGGCGTCTCGAACTGTTGAGCTCCCCACGTACGCGCATGCACGTATGGCACGTACGGCACGTAACAGCATTGCTACGAATGGGTTGCGCTTTCTCATTTCAAAGCCTGTTGATAAACAATGCAGTCGTAACCCCTGAACTGGCTGTGCTCTGTTTTAGCTCGGTGCTCGGTTTCGGTTTCACAATACGGTTTCAGAATGAGTGATCGATTTTTCTCTGTGTGGCAGCACTGTACAGTCAGTGCTGACAATGTGTGAAGATTGACAAATTGAGGGGTTTTCCACGGATTTTTCGGGCGAGTTTGACGCGTTTGGCAGGTTTTTTTCAGCTACGAACACCCCCGGTATAAGAGATGGCCCTGTGAAAATTGCATCCAGATCGCTTGGGCGGTTTGGCCGCCTATAGGGAAGATACATACATACATAGAATACATACATACGAACTCAAATATATATTATATATATATATATATATATTATATATTGTGTCTGTGTGCGCGTGTGTGGCGTGCATGTGTGTTGTGTGTGTGCCTGTGTGTTGCGTGCATGTGTGTGTGTGGCGTGTCTGCGAGTGTGTGTGTGTGTGTTGCGTGGCGGGCTTGCGTGCGTGCTTGCGTGCGTGCTTGCGTGCGTGCGTGTGGTGTGCGTCTGTGTGCGTCTGTGTGTGTGTGTGTGTGTGATGTGTGTGTGTGTGTGTGCGGGCGTGTGTGTATATGTGCGTGTGTGTGTATGTGTGTTGTGTGTGTGTGTGTGTGTGTGTGTGTGTGTGTGTGTGTGCATGCGTACGTGCGTGCGTGCGTGCGTGTATATATGGTGCGTGTGTGGTGTGCGTGCGTGCGTTCGTGTGTGTGTGTGTGTGCGTGCATTGCGTGCGTACGTGCGTGTGTGTATATGTACATGTGTGTGTATGCGTGCGGTGCGTGTGTATGTGCTTGATGTTGTTTATGTTTCACTCTGCGTTTGCTTGCGCTTTCTGTGGCAGCTGATTTTTCCCATAAAGCGTTCGTTGACAAATTCTACAAGACATATTGTCATACAGGCACCATAACAGCTCGAAGGGGGGGGAGGGATTATTAGTTCATCTCTGGGACAATCGTTTCTAGTTTCACGTTTTCGTCAGTTCTCATGCCGATGTAGAAGTTTAGGGCTTTTGCGCATGCGTGCTCGTGCGCGTGCGTGCCTGTGTCTTCAAAGGCCGTGTGTACGCGCGCCGCGCGGTATGTGCGTGCGTGGTGTGTCAGTGTGTCTCTGTGTGTGTGTCTTCTCTGTGTGTGTGTCTTTGTGCGCTGCGTGCTGCCGTGCGTGTGTGTGTGCCTGTGTGTTTGTGTGTTTGTGTGCGTTTGTGTGTGTTTGCGTACGTGCGTGCCTGCGTGTGTGTGGCTGTGTGTATGTGTGTGTGTGCCTGTGTGTGTATGTATATATATATATATAATATAATATGGTGTGTGTGCGCGCGTTTGTGCGTGCATGTGTGTTGCGTGTGTGTGCCTGTGTGCGTGCATGTGTGCTGTGTGCCTGTCTGTGTGTGTGTGTGTGTGTGTGTGTGTGTGTGTGTGTGTGTGTGTGCGAGTGCATGACGTGCTTGTGTGCGTGCTTGCCGTGCGTGCGTGCGTGCGTGCGTGTGTGGCGTCTCTGTGTGTCGGTGTGTCTGTGTGTGCATGCGTATTTGTGTGTGTGCTGTGTGTGTGTATGTATGTGTGTGTGTATGTGTGTGTGTATGTGTGTGTGTGTGTGTGTGTATGTGTGTGTGGTGTGTGTGTGTGTGTGTGTGCGCGCGCGTCTTCGAAGGCGTGTGCGTCGTGCGCGCGCGCGTCGTGTTGTGTGTGCGTGCGATTTGTGTGTGGGTCTGTGTGTGCGTGCGCGCGTGCTTTGAAGGGCGTGTACGTCGTGTGCGCCGCGCATGTGTCTGTGTGTGCGTGCGCGTGTCTTTGAAGGCGTGTGCGTGTGTGCGCGCGCGTGTACTATAATATATATATGTGTAGTGTGTGTGCGTGTGTGTGGCATGTGTGCGTACGTGTGTGTGTGTGGTCTGTGTGTGCTGTGGTGTGCGTGTGTGTATGGTGTGCGTACGTGTGTGTGTGTGTGTGTGTGAGTGTGTGTGTGTGTATGTGTATGTGTATGTATGTGTGCGTGTGCGCGTGGTGTGTGTCTGTGTGTGTGCGTACGTGCGTCGTGCGCGTGTTTTTGTCGTGGCGCGCGTGTTTAAGCGCGTGGGCGCGCCGTGTCTTGTGCTAAGAAGAATGAAGAAGTTTCGGTACTAAAGACAAACTTTGTTTTTTATTTGCTATCATTTTTTATTAAAATAGGACGAGTGCCTGCTTGTATGCAGCCGCCGTGACTGAATCAACACCGCCTGCACACTGTTACTCTTAAATGTATACGGTTGTATATTAATGTTGGCAAAAAGAAATGCTACTCAGCGTAAATAGTCAACGAAAGCAAATGTGAGAATATAAATAAATGATGATTTTAGCACGACAGTAGCATAAGTAGCTACGCTGAGATGTGTGATTTCTTAATATTTTAGACAGCGCCAAACGGCAGCAGACGATTCAGCAGTGACGTCGGCAGTGACGCACTAAAAACGCCCCACGTAAGGATTAGTTTTTACCAAAATATAAATTTAATGCATCCAATCGTAAATTTTCGATTGAAATTACATTTATGTATGTACGCGCGTTATTATTTAAAAATGTATATATATATATATATATATATATAGCAGAGTAGCACGTAATTTTGTAACTTTGCAGCTTATAAGACCTTCCGTTGCCTTATACGGCACCCAACAAGTTTAAAAATTAAAGAAAAAAATTCGAAATTTCCCGAATCTGTATTCCTAAAATTCCTTGTATTTCGTAGCATCTCACTACCAACATTACTTAGTATATATAATAAATATATATATATATATATGATTTTAGTTTATCAGTCTCACATGAAACTAGACTGTCACATCAGGTGTATTGTTTTCTCAGGTGTCACAACAGTAATCAGCATCGCCAGGGGTCGCCAGCTACCGCTACACGGGCCTGAAATACGATAGAGAAACGGTAAGTTTGCTCTTATTAAATCATATACGCTTTGCAATGGTTCTGACGGCATTTTCGATTTTCCATTAAAAAAAAAGTTACAAGCATATTTTTCCCACATTAAATATTTACATCTATTATATCTTCGTAGCTATGAAATTAACCCCTTTTATAAATACACGGATAATTAGTATAGTTTTAGTGCAGATTTGTCACGTGTATGTCATGACTAGGTGTTAATGTTTTCACACGTGCATTTCGTAATCAAACGCAGTCGCATGCTGGCGTAAAGTGTGAGAAGGAAACAAATTTGAAACTTCTTATAATTGTAATGATTATTATAACCATGGTCGCACTCTCGTGCATTGTATAGTGGTCACGTATATGCTTGGTACTACAGGTCTAGTGTACACACATAGTAAAACTCACAAAACGAATGTACGCCTTTAAAGCAAGTGCGCATTTAATAAACGCAAAGCTAGCTAACGTATAAACCAACGAACGAGGTCATACGTGTACATATGTGTACGCGACACAAAGACATAACTTACGTTTTAAACGTCGAATAACCAACACTCACGTTTAACGGTCGAGCTAGTGTTCTTTGTCAACAGAGAAAGGGCAGAGTCCGCAGTGTCTAGAAGTCCTCCGCACACTCGTGCAAAGCCTTAAATACCAGCGTCAGTCTATTGTTTTAAGCTCTGCGTAACAGAGCTTAACCTACGCTCTCATTGGCTGTCACGCCCTGTTCCCGTCCCGGGTCAGTGATCCGTGTTTAAAACAAAGACTTTCCTCTCTGACTATTTGCATTATAATTTATAGTATTGCTTTTATCGTTAACCTTCATAATTATATATTCTACTAATTTCTCTGTATTACATAATTACGAGAGATGAAATGATTTTTTCTCCAGATTTCAAGTATCGAAAAGCACAATATATTACTATCAATATGGACAACCACAAATCTACTGCAGTTAGGAAGACGACCGAGAGACCACCGACGAGAATAGACAGATTACCAGCGTCCCCCACAGGTGACAGATTACTAGCAGCAGCTGGTAACGGTCATACGGATACGGTCACAGCGTTATTAGGTGCGGGAGCTAACATAGAACACGCGGACGTGAATGGCAGGACCGCAGTAATAGCAGCAGCTGGTAACGGTCATACGAATACGGTCACAGCTTTATTAGGTGCAGGCGCTAACATAGAACACGCGAACGTGAATGGCTACACCGCAGTAATAGCTTCAGCTGCTAGAGGTCATACAAATACGGTCACAGCGTTATTAGGTGCTGGCGCTAACAAAGAACACGCGGACGTGAATGGCTACACCGCAGTAATGAGAGCAGCTAAGTACGGTCATACGGATACGGTTACATCGTTATTAGGTGCAGGCGCTAACATAGAACACGCGGACGGTAATGATGGCTGGACCGCAGTAATAGTAGCAGCTTTTAACGGTCATACGGATACGGCCACAGTGTTATTAGGTACAGGCGCTAACATAGAACATATGGACACATATGTCAGGACGGCAGTAATAGCAGCAGCCTTTAGCGGTAATACGGATACGGTCACAGCGTTATTAGGTGCAGGCGCTAACATAGAACACGCGGACGTGAATGGTTACACCGCATTATTGGTAGCAGCTTCTAACGGTCATACGGATACGGTCACAGCGTTATTAGGAGCGGGAGCTAACATAGAACACGCGGGCGTGAGTCGCATGACGGCGTTGATGACTGCTGCCAGTAGAGGTCATACATCGTGTGTCATGAAGCTACTAGCAGCAGGAGCGCGGGTGGGTCGCGATAACAAGGGTTGGACGGTGTTGGCGTGGGCTGCCGACGGCGGTCACGCAAGCACTGTGACAAAATTATTAGATAAATTAAGGGCGTGGCATCCCGAGGACGTGCACATAGCGTACCAGGCGGTCATAGATCGCGCCCGTAAGGTCACCATCAATGACGGCTATAGAGATTCCGCCGGCGCTATACTGGCGCACCAATACTTTGTCAGTGAGCTGCCCGACCATTGTTATTGTGACATAGAACGTAAGATATCACCCTGTAATGTTAATCGTGTGACGTCACTGTCTGATATATGGGAGAACACCAGCCTGGGGAAGATTAGAGCATCAGGAAGAATGCGATCAAATGCGGGATGCCGTAAAAAACCTGATGGAGCGAGTCTGCAAGGAGATGAAAGTCATAGACAGTGACTTCTCCTGCACGCCCATTCTGATAGGCAGCACGGCCAACCGCACAAAAGCTGGTCTGCCGGACGAATACGACTTCCTATTCGAAATCGATAGATATCGAGAAAATGTAATTATTGAAAACACAAAATCTAATACAGCTGGCTTTGTAACAATTCGCGAGAAAAAATCAGACCAGCATATTTCGGTAAATCTAAAGGAAGAATTTGTTAAGCTATTGTGCCAGGCTGTATCGAATGTCATGAAAAACGGAGAACATTCATTCAAATTACAAAGGTCAGATATTTTGGCATGGAACAAAGTGTGCACGCAATTTAACATGACATTTGTTGGCGATGGACAATTTCAATTTCTGCCTATATCGGTAGATTGCACGCCGGGAGTACGAATCTCGGGCAAGCCAGCTGGCGCAACAAACTTTCCTGATGACCACTACCACGTGGTACCCAAGCCTGGCGTGGACACATATAATACGTGCTGGTCCGTCTGTACGGCAGTTGCGGAAAGCAATATGATCAGAAGTTTCCATCCAGTTTATCGCCAGGCTCTAATCACAGCAAAGGCATTTCTTGATCCTCGAGTACATGATTGTTATTATAAGTATGGAAACATATCGAATAGGGATGAGTTGCTTACAAACAGTGGCGTTACAATTTTACGTGCAATTTACATAGACGTTATTCCGCTGTATATCGCCACTCGCTTTAAGCCTAGGAAACTAATCGACTCCTACCTTCTAAAACTTGCGCTGCTTCATGTCGAATCACTCAATCCAGCGGATCCGTTGCCCTTCCCAGTAATCGTGCGTAAAATATTTAAGTACGTACATTCGTGTACAAATAAGCGCAACATGCCGCATCCTTATATTGATAATTTCAATGTTTTGGCCGAGGACTGCGGTAAAACAATCACATGCGTGCCAGTCGCGTATTTGCGTGAGCGGCACGTGGATGAGTTACTGGGACGTCTTGATAGCGGTCCGCTGGTGAGTGAGAGCGGACTAATAAAGTTTAGCGCTGAGGAGATATGGGAGAAAATGGAGGAGTCGGTCAGGAAAGAGCGGCCTAACCATGTATCAGTTATCAAATCCCCGTTTATTAAAACTTGGAACCTACTCTCTGACACCTGCGATAGATAAAACCTGTTAGAAATTCATTAATTAATAATTAGTTTATTTATTACATTTATTTATTTATTCATTTATTTATTAATTATTTATCACTTGCTGTAAATTATTGTAATATCACAAGTAATTAATGAATTGCCGGTTTGAAAGCAATATGTATTTTTCAAATAAATAAATGATAGACTTTGTATTATTTCAAAATTTTTCTACATGCAATATATTTGTCTTGGATTCTGTTTTGATAATGAAGTACTTGCACACTTTCCATGGCAGCGATCTACTTGTAATCAAATAAATCTTTCACGGCAATGCCGTTGCCATAGCAATGATAATAGAATTGCTCTAGAATTTCGCATGTTAGCCGTTTGGTTTCCTTTCCTTCTTTCTTCTGCCATTGCTAACCGTAATAATTTAAAAGTTTGCAGAAATCGGGTTCACTGCTGAAGTTCGTTATAGCTCGCGTTTTATATTCTTCAGAACAAACTACGTACACGAATGCACAACCTACAATATATTTAATATCATTTTAAGCATTTATTGAGATATAAATCTTGTGTATACACAGAATTAAGAAAGCATTAACTAACTGCGAACTGTCAGTCAATCAATCAATCTATCTATCTATCTATCTGTGTATCTATCAATCAATCAAGCGTTCTATCTGTCAATCTACCTATCTACCTATCAATCAATCTATCTATCAATCCATGCAACTATCCATTCATTTATGCTTTCATGTGTGTATGTTAGTGTGTGTGTGTCTGTGTGTGTGCGTGCGCGCATCCGTCCGCGCGTGCGTGCGTGCATATCTGTGTGTGTGTGTGTGCATATCTGTGCGTGCGTGAGTGCGTGCGCGCATATCTATGTGTGTGTATGTGTGTGTGTGTGTGTGTGTGTGTGTGTGTGTGTGTGTGTGTGTGTGTGTGTGTGTGTGTGTGTGTGCATATAATTGCGTGCCTGGGGCAGCGTTAATAGTGTGTGTGTGTGTGTGTGTGTGTGTGTGTGTGTGTGTGTGTGTGTGTGTGTGCGCGCGTGTGAGTGCGTGCATATAATTGCGTGCCTGGGGCAGCGTTAATCCACGTGCCAAAATGTGTTTTGGGAAGGTGGCTGCCAATAATCATGTTATGTATTCACATTTCTCGTGTGGTGCGTGGATATTACCCCTCTTCCTCCTCTCCCTCTCTCTCCTCCTAAGCAGTTGGGGCTACATGACCGAGCCAGGGTCGCGGGATGACAGGTAGACATGAGTTCATCGGGTGAGTCAACGTGAAATGACAGGTGCGATAATGCTATTGTAACATTGAATAAATTCAAGTCGGTTATAAAGCGAACAGTAGGATTGTCACAGGAAAAACGTTTTATTTCGCACACCACTTTGTCGTTATAACCGGCCACGTTCTCTCTCCGCGTCCCCTCTTATCCCTCTGGGCATGCCCCTACTGTCGGACGCGTCCATTTTCGCCTCGCCGGCCGCGTCAGCCATCTCCCCTATTGGTTCGGCTTCGGACATTAGTATGACGAGTGACCACCTGGTCTATCTTACGTCAGTTTGGACTGTGTCCAAACCCAACCCTTTGGCCCTTGGCTGGCTGCCAAACTGTCCCTGATTACCTTTATTCTGCATGTGTTGCTTCGTGGCTACTTATCTTAACCCAGACTACTGCGGGCTCGCCTTCCGTATCTAATGTACCTCTAATCTATATCTAATGTATATCTAATGCCTTCCGCGGCCCGCTACTTTTTGCAACATCTGTCATTGGCATAATTCCCAATATTCTACGCGTTGCGATGTTAATAATATTATTCAATGCGCTGTTGGACGTGTTTATAATCGTTGTCCTTCTAACTAATTTCTCTAATACTCGTGCCACTATCGCCTATGCTAACTATTCCTGCATTTTAATATTAATTTCCACTCATGATTTCTGCTTTACCAGTACAGTACAATATGTATGAGTAATGCCAAACACATTAATATTTCTGCAGTGAACATTAGGCAGCCAAACGCGAGCTTTGGTGTGCAGACGACCTCCACGAAAAAACTCAGAATTTCAGATATTATATTGTGTACTATACAGTATATACAATCTAGTCCAGGCATTATTTGATATGACCTCGGACAAATTGCAACAGAAAGTCTGTCAACTGTTTTATACCCAGAAATATGTCCTCTATAACATATCAAAAGTCTTAAGGAATCCTAGTGGTGGAAGGTTCCATGGCGGCCATTTAAAAAAATGGCCGCCATAAAACTTATATTTCCATATATCTCTGGTTCTGAGTAACATAGAGCTTTGATTTTAAGTGCTAAACATACATTTTCAGGGACAAGGTATCAATTGAAACACATTTAAATGCACTTTGATTTTGACTTTAGATTTTGTAATACTTTTAAAATGTATACATTCTTGAAAGTGTTACGCGTACATTCAACTGTTACATTGTTTAAACTTATCAGTCAAAACTACCATGGCATACCGTATGCATGATGGACGACGTACATGTATAGGTCATAATTATTATAATACTGCATGTAGTTATACCATAGCCTCAGAACATAGACTCAGACTACCATAGTCGATACATGTACAGAAGCATTGATCAATCTTCCTCAAAAAGTCTAGTCATCGTCATCACTGTCACATGCAACTTGGGTT